GCTCCAAAAAAACCAAAAAAAAACCCAAAGAAAAACCCCCAAAAATTCCCAAATTTGGGTCAAAACCCCTCAAAACTTGAGGTGCAAAAAAAGCCCAAAAATAACAAAAAACCCCAAAATTTGGGTCGAAAAACCCCAAAATTTGGGTCAAAAAAACCTCAAAATTGGGGTCAAAAACTCCAAAATTTGGGTCAAAAAACCCCAAAATTTGGGTCAAAAATCCTCAAAATTTGGGTCAAAAACTCCAAAATTTGGGTCAAAAAACCTCAAAATTTGGGTCAAAAAACCTCAAAATTTGGGTGAAAAAACCCCAAAATTTGGGTCAAAAACTCCAAATTTTGGGTCAAAACCTCCAAAATTTGGGTCAAAAAGCCCCAAAATTTGGGTCAAAAAACCTCAAAATTTGGGTCTAAACCTCCAAATTTTGGGTCGAAAACCCCCAAAAACTCAAGGACAAAAATCCCAAAATTGAGAATTTTGGGGGGGATTTTTGGAGGCGAAAATCGGGGATTTTGGTGCCCCCAATTCTGGGGTTTTTGGGGGGTTTTTTGGGGTGATTTTGGGGTTTTTTGGGGGTTTTGGGGGCGGTTTTGGGGTGGTTTGGGGCGTTTTTGGGGTCCCTAACGCATGCGGTAGTCGGTGGAGCAGGAGAGTTCGCAGAGCTGCCCCTTGAAGTCCAGGTCGATGGTGAAATCCAGGTCGCGCTTTTGGGGGAAAAAAAGGAGATTTTGGGTCTTCTGGGAGTTCCTGACGTTTTTTTATCCATTCGAAATTTTTACCAGATTTTAACCCAAAACGAGCCCGGAAACTCAAAAATCCTCCCCTTAAAAAATCCCAAATTGATCCCAAAACCTCGATTTTGGTCTGAAATCCCCAATTTTGAGTCAAAAATCTCAAATTTGGGGGTCAAAAATCCCAATTTTGGGTCTGAAATCCCCAATTTTGAGTCTAAAATCCCAATTTTGGGTCTGAAATCTTAAATTTGGGGTCTGAAATTCCCAATTTTGGGTCTGAAATCCCCAATTTTGGTCTGAAATCCCCAATTTTGAGTCAAAAATCCCCAATTTTGGGTCTGAAATCTCAAATTTGGGGGTCTAAACCCCCAATTTTGGTCTGAAATCCCCAATTTTGAGTCGAAAATCCCCAATTTTGAGTCTAAAATCCCCAATTTTGGGTCTAAAATCCCCAATTTTGAGTCTAAAATCTCAAATTTTGGGTCTAAAACCCCAATTTTGGGTCTGAAATCCCCAATTTTGGGTTTCCAAACCCCGATTTGGGTCTGAAATCTCAAATTTTGGGTCTGAAATGCCAAATTTTGGGTTCTTAACACCAATTTGGGTCTGAAATCCCCAATTTTGGGTTCCTAAACCCTAATTTTGAATCCTCAAACCCCGATTTTGGCTTTTCAATCCCAATTTTGGATCTCAAATGTCATTTTTGGGTCCCTCAACTTCTGATTTTGGGTCTAAAATTCCAAATTCTGGGTTCCTAACCCAAATTTTGTGTTCCCAACCCCAATTTTGGGTCCCCAAACCCAAAATTTGAATCCCAAACCCCAAATTTTGGGTCAAAAACCCCAATTTTGGGTCCTCAAACCCCAATTTTGAATCCCAAACCCCAATTTTGGGTCCCTAAACCCCAATTTCGGATCCCTGAACCCCAATTTTGGGTCTCAAACTCCCAATTTTGGGTCTCAAACTCCCGATTTTGGGTCAGAAACCCCCAATCTTGAATCCCAAACCCCAATTTCGGATTCCTGAACCCAAACTTTGGGTCCCAAACCCCAAATTTGGTCCCTAAACCCAAATTTTGGGTCCTCAAACTCCAATTTCGGGTTCCTAAACCCCAATTTTGGGTCAGAAACCCCAAATTTTGGGTCCCCACCCCAAGCAGGGATCCCCCTTTCGGCCAAACCCCCCCAAACTCAAGATTTAAATGAAAAAAAACCCCCAAAAATCAAAAAAAAAATCAAAAAAATCCCCCAAAAATTCCAAAAAAAATCCAAAAAAATTCCGAAAAAATCCCCAAAAATTCCCAAAAAATTCCCCAAAAATTCCCAACCCCCCCCAGGCTCAGCCCCCCGGGCCCTGGCGCTCCTCACGTTGTTTTTGGCGTTGGGTTTCATGGTGATGGTGCCGAAAATCTCCTCCCCGCTCTTCACCGTCAGGTATTCCTCCATGTAGAACACCGTCTGCTTCCAGTGCGTGTACGGCGACTCGGGGCCTGCCAAACGCCCCAGCTCAGCCCCAAATCCACCCCAAATCCACCCAAAATCCACCCCAAAACTGACCCATTTCACCCTGATTTTTTAAGGGTTTTTTCTGATTTTTTTCTATTTTTTTTCTGATTTTTTTGGCATTTTTTTTCCAATTTTTTGGGCATTTTTTCTGATTTTTTAGCGATTTTTCCACCTGATTTTTAGCATTTTTCCCATGATTTTAAAAGCCATTTATTCTGTTTTTGTAGCCATTTTTTCCTGATTTTTTGGCATTTTTTCTGATTTTTTTGGCATTTTTTTTCCAATTTTTTTGGCATTTTTTCTGATTTTTTAGCGATTTTTCCGCCTGATTCTTAGCATTATTTCCATGATTTTTTAAGGCATTTATTCTGATTTTTTAGCCATTTTTTCCTGATTTTTTGACATTTTTTCTGATTTTTTTGGCATTTTTTTCCAGTTTTTTTGGCATTTTTTCCGATTTTTTAGCCATTTTTCCCCCTGATTTTTACCCTTTTTTCCATCATTTTTTTAAGCTTTTTATTCTGATTTTTTAGCCATTTTTTCCTTATTTTTTGCCCTTTTTTTACGACTTTTTTGTCATTTTTTCTGATTTTTCCACCAATTTTACTTGTGATTTTTAGTTTTTTTCCATGATTTTTTAAGTTGTTTATTCTGATTTTTTAGCCATTTTTTTCTGATTTTTTCACCTTTTTTCCCCGTGATTTTTAGCATTTTTCCCATGATTTTTTAGCCATTTTTTCCTGATTTTTAGGATTTTTTTCCAGTTTTTTTGGCATTTTTTCTGATTTTTTATCCATTTTTTCTCCTGATTTTTGTCCTTTTTTCAACGATTTTTTAAGTCATTTATTCTGATTTTTTAGCCATTTTTTCTTGATTTTTTTGCCCTTGTTTTCCAAGTTTTAGCCATTTATTCTGATTTTTTAGCCATTTTTTCTTTCAACGATTTTTTAAGTCATTTATTCTGATTTTTTAGCCATTTTTTCTTGATTTTTTTGCCCTTGTTTTCCAAGTTTTAGCCATTTATTCTGATTTTTTAGCCATTTTTTCCTGATTTTTTTGCCTTTTTTTGTCATTTTTTCTGATTTTTTCACCACTTTTACCTGTGATTTTTAGCTTTTTTTCTATGATTTTTAAAGTTGTTTATTCTGATTTTTTAGCCATTTTATCTCGATTTTTTGGCCTTTTTTTCCCCATTTTTTGGCCTTTTTTTCCCCATTTTTTGCAATTTTTTTCTGATTTTTTTTCACCTTTTTCCCCCAATTTTTTAAGCTCCTTTTCCCTGATTTTTTCACCCATTTCCCCCCAATTCTTTTCTATTTTTTTCCCATTTTTTCCCCTTTTCCCCCGTTTTTCCCCCATTTCCCAGACCCCAAAACCCTCTCAATAAATTTGGGCCGGGAAATAAAACAAAAAAAACCCCAAAAATCCCCCAAAATTTAATCCCAAAATTGGGAATCCTTTAAACCCCGCCCCCTTATTACATAATCCCCTTTAGGCCACGCCCACACAGCGCGCCATTTAGGCCACGCCCCCTTTGCAGCGCGCCATTTAAGCCACGCCCCCACAACGCGCTGCTTAGGCCACGCCCCCTCTTAAGGCCACGCCCCCTCCCTAGGGCGCCCCCTGCTGGCCAAACCCACCCGAACTCCAAATTCAACCCAAAAAATTCCAAAAAAATTCAAAAAAAAATCCCAAAAATTCCCAAAAAATTCCCAAAAAATTCCCGAGGTGCCCCGGGGTCCCGGGAAGGGCGGAATTGTCCCGGAATTACTGGTGGAGAAGCCGGTGCGCTTGTGGCAGCGCGTGAACTCGATGTTGAAGTAGGCGACCAGGGCGTGGACGTAATCGTTGCGCTTCACCTGCAGGCAGAAGGGCGCCGTGAAGGTCAGCTCCTCCACCTTGACCGTGTAGATGTCAACTTCCTGGGGGGAAAAACGGGGAGATTGGGGAAAAACGGGGGAAAAACGGTGAAAAACGGTGAAAATACGGTGAAAATCGGTGAAAAACGGTGAAAAAATGGTGAAAATCGGGGGAAAAATGGCCTGGAAATGGAGGAAATGGAATCAGAAATGGCCTAAAATGACCCATAATTGAGCCCAAGCCCGGCTCCGACACCTTGACTGTGTTGATGTTCAGGTTTTGGGGGAAAAATGGGGAAATTGGGAAAAAATGGTGAAAATCAGTGAAAAAATGACCAAAATTGGGTCAGAAATGGCTCAAAAATGGTGAAAATTGGGTTAGAAATGGCCTAAAATGACCCAAAATTGAGCCCAAGCCCGGCTCCGACACCTTGACCGTGTTGATGTTCAGGTTTTGGGGGAAAAATGGGAAAATTGGGAAAAAATGGTGAAAAAATGACCAAAAATGGTGAAAATCTGTGAAAAAATGACCAAAATTGGGTTGGGAAAAAATGGTGAAAAAATGACCAAAAATGGTGAAAATCTGTGAAAAAATGACCAAAATTGGGTTAGAAATGGCCTAAAATGACCCAAAATTGAGCCCAAGCCTGGCTCCTCCACCTTGACCGTGTTGATGTTCAGGTTTTGGGGGGAAAAATGGGGAAATTGGGAAAAATGGTGAAAAAATGACAAAAAATGGTGAAAAAATGACAAAAATCACTGAAAAAATGACCAAAATCGGGTCAGAAATGGCCTAAAAATGGAGAAAATGGAATCAGAAATGGGTTAAAAATGGGGAAAATTGAGAAAAATGGATCAGAAATGTCCCAAAATCTGGGAAAAATGAATCAGAAATGTCCCAAAATCCCAGAAAATTGGGAAAACTGGGAAAAAACGGATCAGAACCATCCCAAAACCCATGAAAAAATCCAAAAAAACCCCAAAAAGTCCCGGAAAAATCCCAGAAAAATCCCAAAAAATCCTGGAAAAATCCTGGAAAAATCCCGGAAAAATCTCGGAAAAATCCCAAAAAATCCCCAAAAAATCCCGGAAAAATCCCAGAAAAATCCCAAAAAATCCCGGAAAAGTCCCAGAAAAATCCCGGAAAAATCCCAAAAAATTTCCAAAAAATCCCGGAAAAATCCCAGGAAAATCCCAAAAAACCCCGGAAAAATCCCAAAAAAATCCTGGAAAAAATCCCAAAAAAAATCCCCAAAAATCCCGGAAAAATCCCGGAAAAATCCCAAAAAATCCCGGAAAAATCCTGGAAAAATCCCAAAAAAATCCTGGAAAAATCCCAAAAAAATCCCAAAAAAATCCCGGAAAAAATCCCAGAAAAATCCCGGAAAAATCCCCAAAAAATCCCAAAAAAATCCCCAAAAAATCCCAAAAATTCCCAGAAAAAT